TTTCGCGATTCGTTACGCGCAAATTACCAGCCGTTTTCGCGCTTCTTCACGCGCGGAAGGCATGCTGCGCCAAGTGCGAAGTGAGCGAGAACAAGTAAACACGAAACGAATCGCGAATTATCAGAGTTGGTAGGGTAGCGCACGCGCGTGCACTAGACGCAGACTAATCGGATACAGTTGGTGGGCGACGATGTTGGCAAATGATCTGGTCACTCCAGGCCGGCGACGCCAACGACAGTAGCCAGCGATCAAAAACACGGGAGATGGCCGACCGGTCTTCGAAAGATCGGTGGCAGTGTGAAAACACGGGCCTCGTCTGGCGATGCGGGGTGCTCAGAGTAGCGAGGGGACAAAGGGCGGAGGGGTGCGTAACAAAAAGTGGTCGGGGAGAGCGGCAACTAGAGGGGCGCGGAGGCAGGGTCGGCGTTTAACAATAAGAATGAATAGGCACCTTGCCGATCAGGCATTGGTGGTCGAAATCGGTTTCCCGGGAAGTCAGCAGACCACCGACTCCGTTCGCTGTAACTGATTAGCGGCGCTCGGAGACGTTCGTTGTAAGTGCAATTTTACGCCATAGAACCAATGTATATTTCTACGGTCACGCGGATATTGTTCGCTTTAAGCAAAAGTTTGTTTTAAGTGGAGCCGTTATATGTGGGCTCGACTGTATCATGATTTCACTATATCGTGCAGGTTAGTTACCGTATTTACTCGCATAACTTGTGAACTTTTTTTTTTTGCAATTCTGGGGCCCTAGAACGGAGTGCGCAAATTATTTATGTGAGGATTTTGTGAAAGCAATTAAAATTATAGAATAGTCCTCATGCGTGCTGCATATATATTAAAGAAAGAAAAGAACTCAGGGTACAAATGAAGTGCATTTGTTTATTTAACAGAATTTGCACTTACTTTTACCAGTCAGATTTCGTTATACGCGGTCTAGTCGAAATTGCTGATCGAGAGGTTCGATTGAGAATCATCGTCTTGGCCGCTGTCAGTGCCCTCTAAAGCGCGTCGTCCTTGGTTAAATTGAGAACATTCGAATGCCCCATTTTCTTGAAGAATTCTCGACAATGCTGGGAGAAACTAGGTCCCACGACAGGGCAATATCACAGAAACTATGGATTCCCATAGAATTCAAAAGTTCTCCAACGGCAAGAAACTTGTAATAGGTCCCACGACAGGGCAATATCAGAGAACCTATGCATTCCCATATAATTCAAAAGTTCTCCAACGGCAAGAAACTTGTAATAGCAAGTGCGCCCTGACCTGCTGGCATGCACAACAATCACGCCGATCGTCACACATTAAAGAACTTCATGCTGAAGTGCTTGGCGGTGGCAAATTATTGTAGCCCATTAAATGTGACAGACAGATGGCAAAACCTAAGCTATCGCAATCAACTAAGCATTTGTTGCACGCGCGAACGCATAGAACAAGAGGAACAGTTGGTGCGACAGGCGCTCGTACACCTCCGATACAGAAGGTTGACCATGCCGTGAGCCATGACGCGAGCGTGTATTCTCACAGTGCTAGAGATGAGCATAGAGTTTTCTAATGAGGAGATAGAAGGGGATCAACGCTCGAGCAGTTCTAGTGACCCATCAAAAGATTTGTGCATTTGGGTACGGTATTCTAGGGACCTTAGTTCAGGGAAAATTCTTAGAAAAAGAGACTTCGTACTCCTAGTTTGTTTGACTGTGCTCGCCTAGGCAGCAAGGCGCGTGCTGTGTACGCTTGTCTAATGCATCTGAACATCCAAAGCCTCTTAGAGCGCGCCGGCTGTCTGGCTTGGGCAAGATGGGGAATGCAAAATATGTGAGTAAATTTACATTTTTTTAGGCTGGCAAGATATTATAAGAATGCAAGGGCGCAAATTATGCGAGTAAATAGTACGATGGGTTACGACAAATATGCCCATTTTCCTTTGTAACATGCGAAATACACTATTCGAATTCAATTTGAAATTATTTAAGCAAAATTGCTATTTGCCCTGAATTCATTATTTGCACAAGCCTAGTTCGTTCATGTAACATCAAGCAAAATTCTAAAAAAAAACTTATGAGGTTTTTGTCAATTAAGCATTGTATTAAACATAGCTTGCAGTTAATTCGAACTCACGGAGAGGTCCTGTCAAAGCTATGTGTATTTCAATGGGCGAAAACACCCGGTAATTCGAACGTGCAAGCGCTTGCGACAGTTAATTCGAACATACCGCACTCCGAAAATGCTCTCAGCACCCCGCCTAATCCCGCGGCGGCACTTGCGACACCTCAACGTTGCACGCGAAGGAAATAAAAAGGAAAGAAAAGGCTGCGATGGAGTGTTTGCTTTCTCTCAAATGCCGATCTGCGACGTGCTTGTGTCACGCTTCTCCCTTTTTCGTCCCTGCCACTTAAAGACCCTTCTTTCAACGCCGCGCCCGAACAAAGAGAGGAAAAAAATTGACCTTGTATTTGCATGTTAATCTGCAAATGTTGTCAAAAGACGATAGTCTTGCGTGTGGAGAGAGTGAACAAAACATTTACTAGATGTTCTGCGCAATAAAATCGGTGAATGGTATTCTGGAGACGCTGCGTTAGAGTGCCTCGAGCATGCAGCGGAGGCGAACAAGCTCATCAAGTTTTGTCACACGTGACACATAAGCGCCATCTGGCAGTTTTTTTGGAAAACGAAGCGCGTGGCTCTGAGACGGGTGTGCGCGCCTGTCTCAGAGGTGATAAGGTGTATAACGCAAGGGGTCGGGTAGGTGCCACCACCATCTCACCTTAGCAAAGCATTGGAAGCGAGTGCCTTTTCGCGCAAGCGTTGCGTTGTGTGGTCAGCGGAGCATGCTAAGCACTACGGTCCTTAAAATAACTTATGTACCGTATTTATTCGATTCTACCGCGCCCTCGATTGTAACGCGCACCCGATTTCCACGACGAAAAAAAAAAAAAAAAACGTAAGACATCGATTGCAACGCGCACCCGTTTCTCTCGCTGGCCCGCACGATCACACCACTCAAAAAAACAACTCTTTTCGGGAGTGTCTTCCATTTAAATATGAGGTACGGGCGAAGCTTGTGCCCATCTGACGTGTAAAGGAGCATTGCCGTCGCTGTAGTTTTACCGTGGACCGATGTCAGCACGCGAACTTGCTTCGCCCCCTTCTTCTCGACGGTTGTGGTGCCAGGCATGTCCAAGTAAAGAGGCGTCTGATCGGCATCCCAATTTGCTTAAGCAGGTGGTCGTTGTTATGCTGCAAGTTTAGGACAAACCTCTGAAAACTGTGAAGCTTTTCATCGTACTCCTCCGCAAAACTTTTCACATATGCCCGTTCCCCTTCGGAGGCAAAAGCCTTTCCTCTTCATAAAGTTAGTTAGCCAGCACCTTCTCGCTTTAAACTGGCTCCGCACTAAACCTTTTTCTAAGGCTAATTGCATAGCCCGCACTTGGAGCAGTTCTGTCGTCACGGGCCGCTGTACCGCTCGGTGTTCAAGCACATACTCGCCGAGCAGCTCTTTAATTTGCGGAAACCGACCCTGCTGTGGTCCACTGAAGCCTTTGCGTGAAGCTCTGCCGTCGACAATCTTCTGCTTTTGTTTACGCCAGTCCCGCACGCACGTTTCGGGAACTCCGAACGATCGCGATGCGGCACGATTTCCGTCCGTTTCTGCACATGCGATGACTTTTCTTTTAAAAGCAGCATCGTGGTGCACTCGAGTTTTTGGAGTCGGCCCTTCCATGCCGTCGATGCTAATGCACTACAAGATGACGAACTGCTCAGCACATGTACGAAGTGCTGCACAAGGAAACACATAGGCAGAAATGGCCGACGCGCCATGCCGACGCACGTAGGGGGCGGCCATTTTGGAATTGTCGATGGCAATAAAATGAACGCATTCATTTTTTTTTTCATACTCGATTCTAACGCACATGCGATTTATGAACTCACTTAACCGGAGAAAAGGTGCGCGTTAGATTCCAGTAATTACGGTATGTCTTTTCTAGTAAACGACGCACATGCAGACAGAATATATACGTGTTGTTATGGTCCCCTAGACATGCGCAATAGTTGCTTTTTATATGACAATTGCACAAGTATGAATGTTGAATCTTGAGCAACATTGGTGGGCGCTGCGGATGTGGTCGGCTGTTGCAAGTACCCGATGCCGTTAAAAGTGGACAAACAGACAAATCTACAGACAGACAGACTAAAATTTTTGCGTCGAAGGTCCCCAAAAGAGACTATCTCCTTTAAAAGAAAGCCGTCGCTGGGCTGAATGAATGTGTGGTTGAAGGAAAGGGAAAAGGCACTATTTTCTGCAGCCCTTGCCCCTTGCGGCAGCCCGGCTCTGCACCTTAAAGGGGAGGGCGTCTGTCACACGCAGGTGCCATACTTCCCCCTTTCCCGTCCCTGCCACTAAACCCTTCTCCTTTCAACGAGGCCCGCGAAGAGAGAAAAAAAAATAAAGCTGCCGTGGAGTGTTGGTTTTCTCTCCATTGCCGATCTGCTTCTCTCCGCGCGGAGACGCTCCTCCTTTCTCGTCACGTGCTGGCCATGCTGCGGCTGCGTAGTGGAGAAGCTCCGCTGCCCAGTTGTTGTTTTAGAAAGTGTCGGCGCTGGACATTTCCACGCGCAACTTCTCTTGCCAGAAGAATGATGAAGCCGAAGTAGAAATGCTTTGCAAGCTGCGTGCGAAATTGATTGACTCGCTGCAAGGCAAACGTGTGCAGACACGCATCACCGATTACTTCAATTAACAACGGATGTCCTGTGATTTGTGAATAAATGCAAGTCTTCTGAAACTTCCCCCTCGTGTGTTAGCTCAATGCACATGTGCCACTGCATGGAGAGCCCTCCTTTATTTAGCTTTCATTAATTCAAACTTCTTTTAATTCAAACAAATTTTTAGACCCCTTCGAGTTCGAATTATTGAGATTCAACTGTATAATCGAGATTATACTGTATGTTTATTTGTAGCCTAATTGCTCAACAAAAGACAACCAGTGTCTTACCGTGTCTGGTGACATTAAGTGGAAGCCCTTGGCACAGAGTCGTTGCAGCCACTCCACACCTGCAAGACACGTAGTGTTAGACAAAGGCTGCGCAAGTGAGGTGTAAAGCTGAAGAATGACGTTAAAATGTGAACAGCCCACAGTGCCTTCTGCACACACTACCTGCAGAATAACATTGGTTAGAGACCTAAACAGGAAAAAGGCTGAAAATAAACTGCACATAAATTTAAAGCACTGTTTTCCCCACAGGAAATGAGTCTGAGAATTGCCCACATATTGTACCTACAGTCCCCGATAGATTTTTCACATTCCAAGAATTCTAAGTTGTGTGATGTTTCGGACTTTATGAATGCACCGTCAAGGTTCTCATACCACTAACACGTTTTCCTGACAGATTTCCCAGTTGCATTAATGACTTAAAGTTCTGTTTTTTGGACTAAATCAGCCATTGTGAGCCATGCCACTTGATTATGAAAGCCGCCATGTTGGTTCAGTCAAGTTTAGCTCCCAGTGTCCAGTTATATTGCCCCCAATATTGTGAGCACGTACAATCCTCCAGTTTCACAGGCAGTGTTCGATCTTTCTTGGCTGGCAAAATGCTCATCCCGAAAAAGTTTTCGTAAAGTTTGCCTTGCATAAACGCACTCCCAACTTTGCTTCAATTTTTTTTTTTTTTTTTGAAAAAAAATGAAGCAAAGTTGGGAGTGCGTACACTTGTGTAATGTTCATTACACAAGTGTACGCAGTATTAAAGTGTGAGAGCGAGTTCAATATTTTCTAATAGTTGTCGAACATTCTCTTTTAAATTTCTAACACGTCGAGATGAAGGCTACAGAAAAAAAGGTTGCAGAAAATTTTAAAGGGGGAATGAGGGTCTCAAAATAGTACGAAATAGTTACAAATGCTGACTTTCGAAAATTGCAATTTGAGGTACTTATAGTCGAAAGTATGTTTTGCAAAAATTGTATATTATGGCAAAATACCACTTCTTTTTGTTAAGGGGGGACGTCGCAATGAAAATTATCTTGTTATTTATGAAACTAAAGGAATGAAATTTGGCATGCAGATGTCATTTGTTGTGCTGATATCATAACAGAAATCGGTTTTGCGCTATCCAATATAACTTTTGAGTTACAACACTTGATAAACTCTGATTGTCATCCCAAAATTAATTAGCTGATTAGACACAAGTTCGTCAAAAATTTCCCATAAGGGTATTCACAAGAATTCATTTTGTGCCGTAATGCTATTGGGTTATTTTTAATATTTAAATAAGCACACAAAATTTTTTTCTGAAACGTCCTGGACATATTGTCTTACCAACAACTTTTACAAAAAGCCAATTACAAAAGTCTGTATGATGTGCACACAAATATGGACAGCTTTACGGCACTTACCAATGTCTCAGAATCCAAGTGGAGAAAACGGAATGGCTATAGCTTAATTTGTTGTGAAATGGCACAGAGATGACTGACAGCAACTGCTCAAAAAATGAAACCCGAGAAAATGGAGCTAAAAAAAAATTGGAGCTAGAAGCTGATAAAACAGAACTCAGAAGAAAGCTGGCTTTATTTTTCATTTGAGAAGTGCATCTTTGTGGCTATCTTGATCTCCAATTTGTCCTCTTTATGTTGATACCATGGTGGCACTTTGCCAAGGGAAAGCTGCAAATTTGCCTTTTGATGTGCTGAATTTTCACATAGCTTTTGACAACAGCCCAACAGTAAAAGGCTTGTTTCTCAACTTCTACTACTTATTTTGATCTAAAATAACACTATGATGTTAAAACATGGTCTCAGGATTATAGAAAGAATTTATTGAAGAACAGAACATTTTGACCAAATTTACAATTCCCACTGCCACATCCCCCCGTAAAGCTTAACATAAAAAATTACAAATGTTTTAAAACTGAAAACGTAATTTTCTTGGCATTGTTATTTTTGTGAAGTGAATCTGCCTTACAGAAGTTTTGAGCAAGTTTTTGTGAAGATATCCAAACAAACTTGACACCATTCTTTTGCGCAGCACTTGAACTACAGGCTAGGTAAAGCTTTTCTTTTTCTCTCAACTTTGATAGAATTGTATTACTAGAAGCTCACTTTTACCTTGCTAGTTTATGAATTATTTCTGATCAAAGAAATAGCCGTTTTGACATCTAGCTTGCTTTAACATTTAGTTGTGAAAACTAACTTTTTTTATTGTGAGTTACCATAACAACCTGCAAGAAATTTCCTAATTATAATGTGGGAATTACTCATTACTTTTTTTTTAATTTCGATATTTGAAATCTGTTCGCAGATTTGAAATCTCTATTCAATGGTACGCATGCAGGTGATTTTCATGACAGTAGGATAATAGATGAAGAACTTTTTTTTTCAAGGCCATCGTCCCCCCTTAAGCACATTCTCATGCGATAGAAACATAGAACAGCTTTATTTGGCTAGGTTGGTGAAGTACTGTGGGGATAATGTTCCCTATTTGTTTTATCAAGAATGAGGCATTGCATAGATTGAATTATACTTAGTTACATAACTGGTGCAACCAATATGGTGTCGACAACACTTTACACATGAACAGAAAAGACTGTTTCCTATACCTCTCCGCTCTGCAACTTCTGTAGAGGCCTAAGTGATTTGGCTGACAACGATGTACTCCCTTCGAATTTGGAGTTGCTAATCTGCCCTGTACACTTTAATGTATAAAAACATCTGAAATTTTTAGTTAGAGCCTTTCAGACCTTTTGGTCAAAAACGGCATTACTCGGCATGCCCCTATGTATGCCGAGTAGGTTCGAATCAGTGCTATCGAAAGTCAATCCATTTACGGCCATAGTGGAGCCCTAAAGGCAGCATTCCTTCAATACCACGATGAGTGAAGCATATTAAACACATTCTGGATATTCTCAAATGAATACATTTGCTACCATAGCAGTTTAAGGGGGGAGGTGGCATTGAAAAAAAAACTTTTATTTGTTGACCTACAGCAATGAAATTTGGCATGCATACTCATAAGTGTCTCGAATAGGAAAATATGCAGTTTCATCATGATACCTTCAGTAGTTCTGAAGTTACATAATGCTACATGGTCCAATTACATGGTCTGCTCGTGGAAAGCCTAGCGCTGTAACAAAACATGCCAGGAAGCTGAAAATGGTGTTGATCTTTACTCAAAAGAAAGCGACAGGGTATGGCACTCTCAGAATTCTTTAATAAGCTCTCCTTTTTTTTTTAGAGATCATCATGGCTGCCGACACACATTGTCAGAAACAGTGGCACGGACAAATCATTGTCTAGAAAAAAAACAGGGCAATAAAACAGAAATTGAAGATTGCTGTACCCACAAGCAGTGTTCAGGGATTCAGGAAAAAAAAGAAGAATCAAAATCGGTCCAGTCATTCCCGTGCTACTCTTTCCACGAGCAATGCACAATGTCCAAAACACACTTGTGAGAAAAAGCCTGTCGAAGTTTTCGACAGGCTTTTTTCGATGAACTTTTTTGTTTCTCGTTGGATATTGATGAATATTGGCACAGACACTAAGAATGACCTCACAGTGCTCCCATAAAAGTTTTGAAGCGATACCGCAAATACTTTATCAGAGACAAATTATTTCTTCATTGAACCATGTGGAGGGGCTGAGCCTAATGTAAAAAAACAGTATTGAGAAAGCTGCGTTTAAAGTATCAAATTTTCTTTACGTTTCTAAGACACCTAAAAATTGTGATCTCAGGTTTGTCTTGTGATATTTGACTTCTTTTTATGATTTACTCCTTTTCATGATTTACAAAGAACAAGTATGGATTTCAAACCCAAGTTCTTTGTATGAAGGAGGCATGTGATAGGTATGACAGAAAAGATTGTAATTGAATAAAGTGATATACTGAAATTATTACACATATTTTTTGTGCTGAAGTTGTAATTAGCATAATTAAGTACTTGATTACAAATATTCACTGAACCTTTATTTATTTGGAGAGAGGTTCATTGCATCAGAAAAATGGATCAAACCATGACAGCCTATGCCTTATTTCCAATGCCTTCTTTCAAAATAACAAAGTTATGGGCAGAAGACTGGTGGCACAGGAAATTTTAGCACTATAATTAATGACGTGAAACAGGCATATAAAAATTCGTGCCCCTGATTCATACATGCTATTTTGCCGCTCTAGCCGTGAAACGCATCATCATACAGCCGGTCGCGGAAACTCTAATCTACAGCAATTCATTGACCTCGGAACATTCATAGACATTCGTGGCGATATCAAGCATGGCTCCAAGCACGCCTGAATTGCATCACAAAAGCTTTTGACAGCACTCCATATGACCGTGGGGTGCACGGCCGCGTGGACAGTGCAGTCGGCGCGTAATGCACTTGCCGGCGGCGTTCGGCGACGATGCGCGAAATGTGTAATTACGATGACAAAAAATCGGCGGGCACGGCGCTTGGCATCGCATTTTCGAATGACGATGCACGAAACTGCTAGCCGCTGTTCCGAGCAATCTTTGGCAGTGAAGGGGGTGCGGGGGGGTGTGACGAGCTTGACTGTGTTGTCAGCTGCCGATGCGTAAAATGCCCGTACGTGATTCATAGGAGCTAGCGAGTTATGTGCTACATTCCTTGCGAAGAAGCACGTCGCCAAGAGTGCGCTTGCGCATCGTTCCTGCCCGCAGTCTCGCTGTCAGCAGAGTTAGGGTTAAAGCCGACTTTGATGACGTGCGGCACTCGTAGACCGCACGCCCGCTCATAGTGACCTGATCGCGCATCCGATTACTGCTAGTAACTAAAGCGTAATTATATTATGCTCGTAACTAAAGCGTAATTATATCTTAAGTGATCATCAAGCCGTGAACACGTCGCGAAGTAGCGATTTGCGAGAGCCATGTCCTCGCGACGCACAACCAGCAGAATACGATCTCCCGGAGCGAGCATCGGGCCAATGGCGAGGCGAACTGAGGCAACATGGCGGCCACGGCCAACCAAGAGCCTCAAAACGACCGTCACACATTTGCTTTTTGTGTGCTTGTTGTTAAAAGGAGGAGCCAGCTGAGGCGGGAAAGTTAAACCCGGAGAAATATTCTTTCCGATAAGCCCAAGAAGCCGGCTCCCGGCCTAAGCATCGCGAAGGTATAATTTTTTGAAAATCGCTGTTTTCTCGCCATTTCCAGAAAAAGGTTTGCTACCTAGGTGGGTGAAACGAATTTTCCAAAAGACTTCTGAATGGTTTTCAGTGTAGATATTCTGGAACCAGATAGAAAAAGGGTTCCAGAAACTGAAAACTTGAGTTTCAAAAAATCGATTTTTTTTACATTTTTCGCGATCCCAAAGCCGCCTCCACCCTTAAAAGGCACCATAACCGTAATGCAAAAGTGTGATGCACTCAAGCATATAAAAAATTTGAAGGGAGCATTGTAATTAGACATGGGCCGTATTTGTCTTCGGGAATTTCGAATAATGAAAACTCCAGTGCCAATCAAATAAAAAGAAAACACTCTTTGAAAAATATTGGAAAGTTTCAATATTTTTAGAGTATTCGCATGAGCCTAATTAAACCTTCATACCAAGGGAGGGGGGGGGGGGGGGAGATATCGTCTCCTTGGGATGATCGTTTCGATTCCTCTTAGCAGTATGGGGCAGGCTAGTTCAGCTAATACTACATTTTGAATGTAATTGGCCGCATGGTTACGAAAGGCTGCAATCACCAGCAGTGGTAATTAACTGTATAGTGGTTTGCAAACACGATCTTTTCTCATTTTTGGGCGACGCAAAATGTCGGGCGATGTGGATATTTTTCGTGCGCCTTGAGATCCATATCATAGAGGTTATAACGAAACCCCCCACCCAGTCCCCTTCTTTAGCATCAATCAGCAGAACACCACAGCTGCGGCACCGCTGCCGCAGCTGTGGTAATGACCGCAGCTGACATGGTAATGACTCATCCAGAAAACTTTGTAAGTAGGGCGACAACAATATGCTGAGCACACAGACCTTTGTGCCTCTGGTGGCCAAATCGCCTCTCCCAAGCGGCCAGTAGCAGGTTGTAGTAGCGGCGGTGGGCAAGCAGGGTCACATCTCCGTGGCGACCACCCGGAAACACCCGCTTGAAGGAGCCGCAGCGCGAGAGCTCATCTTCGCTCTGCACCAACACCCGTACATCGTCGGGCGTCAGGCTTTCCAGCAGGCCAGAGGTCTCTTCTTCCTGTACAGGCATACATACATGCATGAGCACTGGGAGATGACTTAGACTCCAACCAAAAGTTTGAAGAAACCCGACGTTTCGAAACCGGCTTGGTTTCTTCCTCAGGGGTGACTGCGGGACTTCGTATCAGCGGCTTCTTCAAAGCACTTGCAGGGCGGATCATGACCCTCGTTCTCTCGTTTTGCCGTGGAGGGCAGTCCATGAGTATACACTGGGGGAAGGGTTCTGAGAGAGCAGTTGATCTTATGGGCTGTCCATTGTATGTGCCACGGCTGGAGTAATAACCTTCTCCTTCAGTTCGGCTCGCTTTCAAGGATGGTCGTTGCTTCGAAATCCATCCATCGTTGAAAGCGAGCCGTACTGGAGGAAAAGGTTATTACTCGAGTCGTAGCATATACAGAGGACAACCCATAACATCAACCGCTCTCTCGGAACCATTCCCCCAGTGTATACACATGGACTGGGCTCCACGGCAAAACGAGAGAAAGAGAGAGAGAGGGTCATTATCCACCCCACAAGTGCTTTGAAGATGGCGCTGCTACGTAGCCCCGTAGTCACCCCTGAGGAAGGTTTCGAAACGTCTGGTTTCTTCAAACTTTTGGTTGGAGTCTAAATCATCTCCCAGTTTCATACCCAACCAGACAGACTTCTGTCGAATGTTTACATTCAATGCATGAACACCTGAGCCACACAGCAGCCACAGATCGCGCAGCGTGTGTGTTCCAATTCTGGTCAGCATTGAAGACATGTTACTTTGACAAACTAAGAAGAGCGCCTTTAGATGAAGTAATCAAATGCACTGAAAATGTTTAAAGGCTAACTGTAACGGAGTTTGGCACTCCGCAAAAAGTCAATATACAGTAGACTCTCAGTAAATGGAAATCTGTTAAACGGAACTACTGCTTAGACAGAAATATTTCCTCTGCTATGCTTGGTTTCAGGCTTGTATTCTGCACCTATGTTCTTCTCTGAGTAAACGGAACATATTTTCCCAGTTCCTACATGTTCCATTTACTGAGAGTTTACTGTATAGGTTGTCTAGCTAGATGTAGTGCTGCCTGCGGAATGTCGCCTTCAAAATAAAAGCACTTACCTTAAAAGAGCTTGCAAACGACAGTGTCTTTGAGACCAAAACTAGAAAAAACGATGTCATTACGGCTGACCGGAAGCGACGTGAATGACAGAAAAATTGTCTGCTCCACACTCCTCAAGTACGCACCTCACGAATGCGCCCTTTAGTGCGTGTGCCTTTTCTATGTTACCTAAATTAAGAAAACTGCGTGAACATGCCTCTTATCGAAAGCTGGTCCGGGCTTCCCACTCGTGGGTTTTCAGTGTCTGACCGCCGTATTCAATAACGCTGCTTGACTTGAACTTGACTTGCCATAGACTTCAATGCAGCACGAACGAGTTTCGAGTGCGCTGTCTTTAGGTTGCACAAAACGCCCAGAGCGATTCAGTGGCAGGGAGGATTGCTCACAAGGTGCGATGCGACAACATTCTGTAGTAATCGTCTTATCCGGTTCTGTCCGATTTGCATAAGCACACTGCTAGAGCTCTGCGTCGTCTGCTTGCTGGCAATTATAGCACAAATTATAAATTAAATACGCAACTGCAAGATTTTTTCCTGTCGTTATCGTATCTTACCGTATATATACAACGTATTTATGGCCAATTCCAGCCAGGTAAAATTCTGTTGCAGTTAGTCTTTAACTTGTGAATTTATGCCTTGTTGCTTGGATAAAATTTGAATTAAAAATTTACGAGAAGCAACTGTCGGTGCAGCATTTTGACACTTCGTTTGCAACAACACCATGATGTGTGTGGTGCTAAAAGACGAAGGATGGCGGAGGTTTGATGAACTCCACCTAGCAGGACAATGTGAACCCACAGCTTAATAAAGTCAACGAGAAGCAATTACTGATTTCCTCTTGTGCTGGCCAACTTCCCACTATACTTCTTAAAAGCTTGATAAGGAACTACCTTGCTCGAAAGTGAAATAGCCTGTGCCATCTTTTGACCTCACTCGCATTTTTTACAAACTTGTTTACTTTGGCGGTGCCATTAAGCATCGTAACAAAACTTATGACTGCGATTGCGTTATATCGAAAAATGCAAGTAAGCGTGTTATAGAGTGACTCACCACATCCATTAGGCTTGTCTCATAGTGCCGGTGTTTGAGGTGCTCAGCTGGGGAGAGGGAGTATGTGTGGAGCAGAGGGTTCAAAGAGAGATCATCTTGTTCTTCCAGACTGGGCAGGTGGGGAGGAGAGAACACTTATTAGGGTCTTGCATGCACTTTATGGTGGTTCGCAAATACATCTGAGAAAAAGAACGAACAAAAAAGCTTTTTTATCCAATTTGCTGCCTTTTCTTCTAATTTAATCTGATTCTTTTACCACGGAGTCGAAATGACATAGTAACCATAAAATAATTTGAAACATTGAAGTCGTGAAAAAGTTTCTCTTGCTCACAACTTGCACATTGAAGTGTAAATATTACAACTAAGAACAATCAGTCGCACTGAGGCAACTGAACTTTCTAGAAGATCCTTGAATTTGCACACTTGCTGCTCTAAAATCGCATTTTCTCATGGAATCCCAATCTCAAAAGCTCCGGTCTTAGAGATGGGCAGCACTACTTCATGGACGTCTGGCACATTTTCTGGCCCTTTTTTTTTCTAGCCATTGTATTGCCAGGAACAATTGTGGAGACTTGGCATACATCAAACACTAACAACAAGCTCAGGAAACTTTCCAGCTTATTCTTGTTTGAAACAAACGCGTCCTCTCTCTTACCCGTAGCATTCTAGTAGCCTCTCGTCAAGGTCGTCCTTGAGCTGCTGAGGCAATTGAAAGCCTGCCAGGTTTAGCATGTCCTTCACCACCTCACTCTGCAAAGGAATGAGTGCATCAGAATGACAGACTGAGAATACCCATCCGGAAGAGTATCGTCAATTTCAGTATGCCAATATGTCAATTTATAGCAAAGAAGCTTACAATCAAAGATACCACAAAGAACCACTGTGCTGTATATAAGACAATGATGATAAAGAGAAAATTGTCATCTACTCACTTCAAATGCAAAGTTCATATGAATTCCACAGGAATAGGTCTGTGTTCCTTATTGATAAAAATAAAAATAAGAAAAGACCTTGTGTGCACACAATACACTAAGCGAAGAAACAGGTCTGTGCCCTGACCCTTCCCAGAAAATAATGCTACTTTAGAGCAGCTATTGATGTTTTAGAGGTAGATATTAAATTTGCCATACATTACTCTGAGTTCAGAGTGTTGTCGAAGCATCTCATAAATGATAATATTTCTTACGAAATATATTTAACAGACAACAATAAATGTAAATTTCATGAAGCAGACAATGGCAGGTTGTCAAAAATGAGCTGTGAAATGAGCTACCGTTTAAAATACCAGTATTTGTGCCAGAAATCAAATCAAACCAGAGAATGCTGAGCACCACATTTTAGAAGTAACCACAATACCATATAACTGCTGCCAAAAAAGCAGCAGCTGATTGGTATGAGATGCGAGCAATCGTGCTCATTTTCACATTTCACCACACTACCCTGCATGTCTAGCTGAGAAAAAGTAAACAGTCAAATGAACTATACGCCTAATATGCCAGTTCTTGTTGCACAAATGAGATCAGACCTGATAATACCACACACTAGTAGCACACTGGGATGACTGCACACAGATTCTTTTCAGTTTCTTTCAAACAGTAAAAGTTCGTCGGTATTGTTTTCTCGGTGTCATTTCGGAGCAGGTTTAGAACAATTACTAACAAAAATTACTGCTTGGAGCAGCGATTATCTTTTGGAGCAAATGGAGCAGCACATCCATCACTGCTATTGACAATTATAGTGATGTTTGCACGATTGCATGCAAAAATATTTACTGTAATTACTCGAATCTAACGCGCACCTTTTTTCCGGTTAAGCGAGTTTATAAATCGCATGCGCGTTAGAATCGAGCACGAACAAAAAAATTACGGCCAATCTATTGCCATCGGCAAATCTAAAATGGCCGCCCCCTACGTGCGTCGGCATGGCGCGTCGTCCATTTCTGCCTATGTGTTTCTCATGTGCGTCACTTCGTACGTGTGCTGAGGAGTTCGTCATCTAGTAGTGCATTAGCATCGACGGCGTAAATGGCCGACTCCAAAAACTCGAGTGCACCACGATGCCGCTTTTAAAAGAAAAGTCATCGCGTGTGCAGAAACGGACGGAAATCGGGCCGCATCGCGGTCGTTCGGAGTTCCCGAAACGTGCGTGTGGGACCGGCGGAAACAAAAGCAGAAGATTTTCGACAGCAAAGCTTTACGCAAAGGCTTCAGTGGACCACAGCAGGGTCGGTTTCCGCAAACTAAAGAGCTGCTCGGCGAGTATGTGCTTTAGCAGCGAGCAGCACAGCGGCCCGTGACGGCAGAACTGCTCCAAGTGCGGGCTATGCAATTAGTCTTAGAAAAAGGTCTAACGCGGAGCCAGTTTAAAGCGAGCAGGTGCTGGCTAACTAACTTTATGAAGAGGAAAGGCTTTTCCCTCCGAAGGGGAACATGCATATGCGAAAAGTTTTGCGGAGGAGTACGATGAAAAGCTTCACAGTTTTCAGAGGTTCGTCCTAAACTTGCGGCGCAACAACGACTACCTGCTTGGGCAAATCGGGAATGCCGATCAGACGCCTCTTTACTTCGACATGCCTGGCACCACAACCATCGAGAGGAAGGGGGCGAAGCAAGTTCGCGTGCTGACATCGGTCCACGGTAAAACTACAGTGACGGCAATGCTCTGTTACACGTCAGATGGGCACAAGCTTCGCCCGTACCTCATATTTAAATGGAAGACGCTCCCGAAAGGAGTCGTTTTTTCGAGTGGTGTGATCATGCGGGCCAGCGAGAAAAAAGTGGGTGCGCGTTACAATCGATGTCTTACGTGTTTTTTTTTTTTTTTTTTTTCGCGGTGGAAATCGGGTGCGCGTTACAATCGAGGGCGCGGTAGAATCGAGTAAATACGGTACTATGTTTTTTTTATTGCGAGAAAATGAAAGATCATATATTACTTTTTTCTGACTCACTAGAAACTTGCTTGACTGGCTGGCATTTCACAAATCATCTTCATGCTGCTGTGAACTCCACGAAAAAGTGAAATCAGTTATTTGAGAGCTGCCCACCTCATGGTTACACCATGTCTGAAAAGAGTATTTTAACCTCTGCAATACCTAGTGACTGCTCTTTAGACGTCTCCTTGGGTCCGAATAACTGACTGCTCTTTAGACATCTCCTTGAGTTCTACCGTGACCAAATGTATTGTAAACAGGTGCAGGTCTCATGTGCGTTGTTACAGTATGCACTATGGAAAACAAAAAAAAGCATACCTTGACTGTGTAGTCGACTGGTGTTGCAGATCGTAAGCTGTGCAAGAAAAAAGCAAGTGGAGGTGAATCAGAAAACTAATAATTTCAGAGAACATCACGATCAGAACAACCTAACTGCAGAGCTGTAGAAACAGCTGATTCTCCTCACCTCAGTAGCTGATGCCAAGACTATGATCAGTGAATTATTTGCACTAATAACAATAGAGTCCAGAACAAAGCAATGACCTACATTGCATCAATTCAGTCGTAATGCGAGCTTGAACAGTTCTGCTAAAATACAGAGAATGCATGTGGACACTTGAGGCTTATGTGTTTCTCTTCGGTGAGGATTCCTTGCACAGTAAACAGAATCTCTACTACTGCTGTGGCATGGACCTTTATTTGCCAGGCATGACACTCATCCCTAAAATCACCAACAGCTTACCATGATGCCATGCAATTTAATGGCACCTTTTCAGGCAGAGCTAATTTTTTATTACTAAAGTTCACTCAGTTACATCCTATATAAAAAGAAGCTTAGACAAAACTTGCTAACTTTCAGCAACATTTTTCTTGACCGTAACAGCCAAAAACAGGCAAACATGCGTTCACTGCATTTATAGAATATTGAAGTACTATACAGTTGATCCTGAATTATATCAAACTCGTGTATATCGAATTATTGGCTATCTTTAGGAGTATGCGAATATGAAGATATTCAAATACGAATCGAACATTGAATAATGAAGAGGTGCAATTTATTTCCACCAGTAATCTTCTACTTAATCATATATTTAGGTTGAAACAGTACAATTGTTATTATAGCCAGCTTTGCACACAAAAATTTTAAAAAAAATGACATCATCTGTACTTCCCAGAAAACATAAGACTGTACTATTTGAGCTTGTGACTGTGATATCCTGGGTTCTATCCACATGCAGAACATACCTTTTGTATCTTTTGTATCTTAATGTGGTAGTACTTTATTACAAAACAAAAAGCTTTCATACCAGCTACCATGATCACCAGTCAGCATGAGGCCACTGATGTGATTGTGTTAACAGTTAACACCAATGTACTTGAATCTAAGTGATTATTAAAGCAGCCTAGGTGGTCACAATTCATCCAGGTTCGAACACTATCAGTTCTAGCTCGAAAGACTCCGACTTTGAAGTTTTCTTTCTAATTTTTTCCCCAGTTCTCACCGACCGAGCCACCAAGAAATATAGGACTACTTTGAGTGTTTTTCAACCACACAGCTCAACTCGTTATCTCTATTCCTTCCGTTGCCTTTCTCGAAGACAGCGCTCGCCATTTTCGGATCAAGAATGCTGTGTTGCACTGATAGCTGCAGTGCTGTGACCGAGGTGTACCGGGTGCGCAGTAATAGCGCGAGATAAATGATCACTGACGTGTGATATAAAGACGCCCCAAATACGCCTTTTTGCAGATGGAGCCACAACTCTCATCGGCCACGGCACTATTTTGCCACGTCACAACCCCTTTCGACGCAGTGGCTGTAGGCGGCAGTAAACTGATGTTAGCAAAAGAGCGAGATCATAGCAACAGTGTAACGGAGGGCTGATTGCAGGAAACATTGCGACGCGAGCGCAATGTGCATACGACAGATTTTCATAGGCGCTGTCGGGAACACAGTGGAACCGAGCAACGAAAAAGTATAAGTGATGACACAATTGTAATGTTACCAAAAGTGCATGGCCTTTTCTATGTTTACCATTGCGGGGAAAAACAATAACTAATTCACACGACCATATCTGCTATTATACGATCATTCCGAAACTATGAAGAGAGTATTACATGATGAAGTAGCGGCACAGCTGATGGACGACTCGTCAGGCTTCAACACGTGCATGTACGCTTCTACGGGGATCCATTAGAGAAAACTGGCCTGGCTATACATGAAACGTGTTACCATCGTACGTCAAGCTGAGCGCGCCCTTAGCTAGTCACGTGCACTGCATCGCCTATTAAGCTCACTCCACCAGCGCCACGTCCTGTAACATATACGCGTGCACTTGCCCTTGCGTAGAGATTTTTTTCTTCGTGCTTGCTCAGCACTGAACCGAGCAAAGGTGTGAAGACTATTTCCATAGCAACGGCGGCGAGTTGCTTTCGTTTCCACAAGCGATTCATTGCAGACGGCGTAGTCTGTACGCTTACATGAACCGTAACAGCACTGAACCACTAAGCCACACATACTGCCATGCAGGCAGTACATGATTTAGATTTATTGAGATGTTTATCATTGGTACGTTTGTCGCGATGCATGCCTTGCCACCGCATTTGCTGGTAGCCGTCATCACGCTCCTACGAATTTCCATGGAGGCATCACCACACTTGCGCTAAAGTCATAGTTATTGCATGATCTACTGAGGCTCTTATGCCAAATGCACCAAATCGAAAGTTCTCTTATGCCAAATCGCCATATGCGAACGAACACTCGTGAACATTAAATATTCAAAGAATATTCAAGTTCAAATATTCAAAATTTTCAAATATGTGGTTATTGAATCGAATACTAATATTACAAATGCAATATTCGCCGAATATTTGAAACTTTCTAAATTCCCATGCAAAACTATGGGACTCGCGCATACGTATATCGAACTCTCGCATACGTATATCGAACTCTCGCACAACTAACATCCATTATATCAAACTCTCAGCCTTACTGAAGCCCACAAAGTCAATTTTTTTCTGACAAAAGTTGATCATTTTTTGGCCGCGTTCTATATATATCTAATCCTTCCTAGCGCGAAGGTGATGAAAACAAGGTGCTACTTTATTGCGTTGATCTGCGCAGTCCTTGTAAGTGCACTAGTAAGTTTGACGTGCAATCTGCAGGTTTTCATGTGTGGGCATAGTGTTTTTCAAAGAAACCGATTATCGAGGACTCCAAAATGAAAATGCAAAATGATTTGGCAACGTCATTGCAATGTTCACATTCCCTACCTCGTTTGTTCCTACACAATAGCATACGGGCCTGAAAAGCATGGCCTTCCAGGTGGGGAACCTCGTGACGTATTTTCGATGCTTTCGGTTTTAAAATGCAGATCTTGCGGTCTATGCTTTTTCTAGCTCTCCCCACCAAAGCAGTGGCTACCTGCTACAAAGCCACAAGGCTCGCTAGCGCCTACATGCTGACGGTAGGAACTTGTTCCTTTGTTTGTGGGCAGCGTTGTCTTCAGTAGCTCGTGGACTTGTATGCTTTTCGCCTCGTTCCTGATGAATCCTCATTCGAACGAAACATTGACCTGCTCGTTGCAATAGAAAATGTGACTGGTGCTTGCAGAAACGTGGAGTAAGGCAAAGTCGTAAACTGTCTCCTAGCGAGCTTTGGTGCCAGTTGACGACACTGGGTGCATCATGACCGCTGACAACGGTGTACGGTAGGTGGCTCGCTGAATTCTGCGACTTATTAGAGTTTCCGAGCACCATCATAAAGCGAGCGACTTCATCGATGCAAATCACGACATGAAACAGCGACTACGATTCCGATACCATAGCTGCTGTTGCCAGTGGGGCGGAAGTGTACGTGCGGTTATAAAGATGCCACCGTTGACCAACCTTTTACTGCGCTAGAGAACCTGCATCGGCGTTAAGCATCAATCAAAGCTGCTGTGGCCATGAGAGCTGAATTTGTTTATTTGGAAAGATTCAATGATATTGATGATTACTGGAACTTACCTGCACGCAAGAGCAAGACAAGTTTACGGACTATAAGTGTGGTAATTGCAAAAGAAAAGGTGCCCTTTTTGTTCTTTATCATACTGAGATCAAAATGTTATGCTAACACTCTTTACGATTTCTGAAAACTGTTTCAAGGCCTACATGTTTTAATTGAAGCCTTATATACACATATTTTGTTTTTCAAATTATTGATTGATTTATGGGGTTTAACGTCCCCAAATCACCATATGATAATGAGAGGAGCTGTAGTGAAGGGCTCGGGAAATTTTGAACACCTGGGGTTCTTTAACACGCACCCAAATCTGAGCACGCCCATAGAAAATGCAGCCGCCGCAGCCGGGATTCGATCCCGCGACCTGCGAGTCAGCAGCACAGTACCTTAGCCACTAGACCACCGCGGCGGAATTCTTTTAAATTATTGATATACAGTTGACGACAGATTTCCCAGACCCTCAAGGAACTCCAAAAACATACGGAAAATCAGACAGTTCGGAAAAACCAATGCGCGCTAAAGGGCACCTTTCTTCAGGTATTTTAAGCTGATAGAGAGGGTAACGGCAGGAGCACAAGATTTTTGTTAAAACAATGTGAATTCATTGGTTAGGTGGCTCTGAAAAGAGCCGTTTGTGTAAAAAAGAAGAAAATAAATTCATTGTGGCCGGTGCACCTCATTTGACACCACTTTAACCCAGAAAAGTCGCTAATTTTCTTCTGCACGAAATTTCACTTACCCGCGATCATATCTGCCTCAATTTTGGTTAACGTCATGCTGCCGCTTTACACCTATGACAGTGTCATCAGTGCTCGCCTAGCTGTCTAGGCGCTGCCTCTTCGACCTCGGTGACGAAGTCGTCAGAATCTTCCGTAACTTGAATGATTTCGTCTTCTGTCAATTCCGCACAAATCTCAAAGTCTTTGTCTACATCAATGAAGCCCTCAAAGGTTATCCCAGCTGAAATTCAAGCACTGGCCATGCACAGGTCGTCGAAGGCAACGTCTGTCGACGAAAGTTCTTGACACACACTATGCTTGCCGCTGTGGCAGGGGTCACCAGCAAATGCAGCTATGTTCTCTGGCAGCAGCTTGTAAAGCAGTCCGGTGTCGCCGCAGTTGAAAATATAGTCTGGTATAAACTGCTGAAGCAAGGACTGCCTCCCTCCATTCCGTTATTCAGCAACTACAGAATCATCGAGAGCGCCGCTTTCCCCGCACATCATCTTGAATTTCAAGTAATTGCGGCTCTTGAAATTGCGACGACATCCATCACTGAACTCGAAATCCCTCATGTTCATCCGAAGCTCAAGAACCTCCGCTTTCTGCTTCATGATGTCACCTGACACCGGGATTTTCTTGGTGATCATGGCATATAACCACACAAGTCGCGCTTCCTAGAGCTTGAGGTAAACACCCTGACTCGCAATCTCCTTTGCAGCCCAATTTGATTTGGCAGCCAGTTCCAAGATCTTTGCCTTGTTCTTCATGAAGTCTGAAATACTTGGCTTAGAAATTCCAAACTCCCTCCCCGCCTCTGCCTGCAACCGGCCGCTTTGGACTTGGTTGATGATGGTGGCTTTCTTTTCCATTCTAAACCTACGAGAGGGATTTGTGCGCTTCGAAGACGCAGACAAAGATGAAGGAGCAGTTGGTGCAGTTGAGAAAGAGCAGTTGGGCAAATTTGCTTGACGAAAAGGCAGCACCAAACAGCTACAAACTCGGTGGATGCGGACGCTCCGGATACGTGACCACTGATGATAACGCGCTGCAGCACATAATCTACCGCACAGCTGACAGAACAACACTTAACAAACCCAGTGAGGTTTGTGGTTTGACTGGGCTACGGCTGGCAACGAATTGGCATGCTCTAGATTGCGACAATCGCGGTTTCGAGAGCACAGTAGCCGCGATGCTGCTGGCCACACTGATCCACACCTGCAATTCACAAGGTCCCTGGATAAAACAAGTTTCCAATGTAGCAACACCCCCCGCCCCCCCTCCCCCCTTCCTCCTCACTTATGTTTCTAAAGCGCCCCCTAGAAGGTTCAAAACTTTCATAAACAAGTGAATGTCTTGGTTCAGGTGCTACGGTGAAGATGCAAATGACACAAATTGAAAAAAAAAAAAAATGAGCAGTAGAATAGACGGTTACCTATATGAATATGAACGGTAGAACACAGGAGCAAGGGGAATGTGTATTACTTAACTGGTGACGTTATGCAGTTCTACATTTTACACCACTAGCCATGGCATCTCGCATCGTGCATCGTAGTTCACCCAGTTTTCCAAATGTGTTTTATTCGTGGTCTGACACAGTGGACGCGCTTCTTGCTGCATCCTATCAGTGGCCACAGGACGTGACGTTGTGATGAGTGATTACAGCCGGCTTGTGCACACTCGAGGATTAACTACAGCCAGACTGGTACGAACGCTCGACTAGCAGCACTGCAATGACAGTTTCTTTTTTTTCAATGAGCCCATTTTGACAATCGTAATGCGAGGTAATTTTAGTACGGTGTGCGGATCTTCCCAAAAAATGAAGTACTACGGGTGAGGTGTCCCGAAAGAGCGCATTTCGGCTCCTTTATGCCACGTTCTAGAGAAAGTGGCGCAAACTGGTCAAAATGTTCCTGAAGGTGCATTCATTAAACCCTCTTGCTATTCTGTACGTTCATACGCACAAGTATTTGTAGTAACTGTCATGAACTAGACACGCGTTATACCCGCTCCTTGCGTTTCAACAACTGACAGATAAACTCGCTTCACAGATCTGCATCGGCATACGTTGACGGCTTTGCACGAAAACGATCGCGTGAAATGTTTCATAGCTACACTTCACGATATGCATCATATCAGATAGCACGAGGATAGCTGACAGAATACTTTGTCAGCCTAAATGAATTTTAATTGTTTTCTTCCAGCTTTATTCATTCATTTTTTACGTATTTATTAATTTTTTTCGTTTACCTTGGCGCACAGAGAAACCTGCCATTAAAGGCCACAACCTAGAACTATGGAGTGAAATCGCCCTACCTGGGAGAGATGTTGACCTCCAGGAGCCACGGCTTTAGCTGCTCGTCAAGCAAGATGTCAAAGCCGAACAGCTCGTAGCATGTGTAGCGACTAGACGTGTGCCTCTGGATTAGCCGGTTCATGGGGCCCTCCGCACTGCACGAGGGAGTAGGCATGGCGCAACAATCTTGAGAAAACTACCCTTTTTCTTTTTTACTTTTTTGTGTGTTTGTGCACGTCAAATCACAAAAAGCACCGCTTTGCAGTTATCACCAAGATATCAGTAAGGAAATAACAAGAGCGAAGTATAGGCTCCTAACAATCATGAGCACACGGAAGTGTCTAAGCTGTGTTACACAGCCCAGACACTTCCGTATGCTTATCATTACAAGCAGCCAAGCAGCACTAAACAACAGGATAAATAGAGGACGCAGACCAAGGTGCAGTCATGCTATCTCTCTTCATCTTGCTGTTTAGTTCTGCTTATCTGGTCGTACTCTTGAACCAACCAGTGTAAATATACACCCTGTGCGTTCAAAAACTCTACTTTAGAGACTATTTGAAGCAGCACATAAAAAGATTGCTATGTATGTGCTTTTTACACAACCGAGAAAAAAAGGCAACACATTCCTCAACAGCCCAACATTTTTAAAGTGTGAGCAAAAAAAAAAAAAAGCAGCTTCATGGAATGCGATGTCTTATATGGCAGCAATACTGTGTCCTTTTATTGTTCATCTGTACAATGCATCAGAGAACAAGAATCATGAATGGCGACACAAGTGGCAGAAACAGTGCGACATCAATTGATGCTCGTTAAGGGGAGAGGCTACCATCGAATACCAACTTTTTTGTTTATTGAGATATCTTAATGAAATTTTCAGGATAGACTTATAGCAAAAGCATTAGAAGAACTACAAAATTTCATCAAGTTATGTTCACTGGTTTTCAAGTTACAGCAGAATATCAGGGTAGTGCACATGGTTCTCTTATTCCAGGCCTGGAGAACTTTCAAAAGGTGCTGGAACTGTGAAATTAACTATGATGATTCCCAGATTGATACTCCAGAGGGTAACAGAGCCCTTTTTTGAATTTCCTTGCTGAAAAGTTTTAGCAGACCATCAAACTTTGTGTTCGTGATTAGGATATTATCAATCAAATTTTGATTAAATATAATAAATAACACACACAATATATTGAAAAAATGGGCTTGTCACCCCCTCAGAAATTTATTCATGTACATAATAAAAAAAGACTTATGGAAATCCTATGAGTGGTTCCAGAGATATGGCTGGAATAAGCAGCCTCACTAGCCAAAAAAGTCATTTTGAGAAAACGACGTTTGAAAGTTTTGAGCACATAGGCAGTTCTAAAATGAACCTGCAGCGTAACTGGAGGTGTCCTTTGGCACTCTCTTTCTTTGCCGCCTTTCCATCTTCTCTAGGGATCGCTTCTTAGCTTTTTTCAAGCGCAGAGAATCTTTCTCGGCTGCCCTACAATGGCCAGGTGGCCAGGTGTTAGCCCCACTGATGAAGCTAGCTCTTGGGTGGCCCTGTAGCAGCCAGCATTGTATCTTAGCACTGCATCATGCAGTGCTGTCTCCACAGCAATCAGTGACGCATGCTGCTCTTTGGGCATGAGGGACCACAGCACAGAGTGAAAGGACTCTGATGCATTCTGCGTCTTTGCTCCCAGGCAGCGTTGCAGAAGAGAAGCCTGTGAGAGCCTCTCATAAATGGGTAGAAGTGCATCTGCAACATAGCGTGGCAGCTTGTACGAATGCTTCGGAGGTGGAACACCGGTAATCTTGCTGGCATTGTGACGACACCAGGAGTCTGCACCCTCTGGGCACAAGTCGTGGTGCGGCTCCTCATCCGTCGACGTCACATGGTGGTACAATGCCATCACTGCCCGCCGCATTGCAGCCACATCATCGGAATTGTTCCGTAGGGCCCAGCCATAATAATCTGTCAACTTGTCGATGAGGGCCTTTGTCAGCCTGCCCTTCCCTCCCAAAGCCTTGTCACTTTTCTGCACAAGGTTGCGAAGTGCAGTCCCCATCCTCTTCTGAACGTGGTTCAGGCATTCCTCTTTTGAAATGGGGACCAGTCCATAAACATTTTCTTGTACAAGGGCAGAGAAGGTGGCACTATCTCCATCAGACACGAGCGTTGTGTAACGGAGGTTGTGCTTCGACAGTGAGCGTGAAAAGAGGATGATAGCTGCCTCAACCTCAATTCTCCCTGATTTAGAGTCGGTGTTTTTCTGGCACACATGATTCTCCAGCCAGCATGCATAGTCTGCGTCTCCAGGCTTTGGCCCTACTTGGCAACCAAGGCACTGATTAGACAGAACAACGGCGTCCAAGATAAGGCCTGTATGGTATTCGATGATTGCCCCGACTCCAATATGGGATGTGTGCCCACGCTTGTGCCATGTTCCATCATAACAAACTGTTATATCCATGGTGAAATATTGATCCATTTCTTTGTAAGTGGCTTTTACAGCAGAAGCAGATTCTGCATAGAAATTTTCTATGCATTGTGTCTGCGGTTCCCTGAATTTCTTCAGGTGCTTCTGAAAGGCCTTGTGATGGAGGCCACGATGGTACACGTTCATCGCTGCCCAAAAGTCGTTGAGAGCTGTTTGTCCCTTGCCTATTTGTTTTGTTGCCATAATGGCTCTTACATTCACATCAAAGGCCTTTGTGTCATCCTGACGAGATGAACTCCATGAGCTTGAAACTACTCCACAATGCAAGCATACTAGCTCAAGCTTTGCAGCAAGTCCAAGTTGGGTGCCTCCTCGTACCTTCATCCCAATCGCGGTGCACCGGTGGCACGGGGTCCGAGATAGCAGGTCGTCTAGGGCATCCATTTGCACAAGGAAAAATTTTTCGCCTTCACTTGTAGCGGTGGCAGCTTCATGATCGCGCTCCATTGCCTGAAATTTCCGCTCCGTCGCTGGCATAGCGCCAAGTTCTCTTTGCACAGCAGCGCGTTGTTGATCTGCCGCCTCTTCCTCCTCGCACGTCAGGAAACTTGTTCGCAAATGCACAGTTGACGACGCGATCGCACTCGAGGCCGATGAAAGAGAAGATGCGGAAGCCACTGTCGATGAGCACGAGACACCAGGCGCACTTGTAACGACAAATTCTTGCACCGGCGGAGCAGGAGTCCCGTTGCTAGGCGCGTCGATGCGACCACTCTCTTGCGTAGATGAAGCAGAAGCTGCCCCACAGGTACCGTCGGCGCGATCACCGTCGGCGCACGTGCGAGCGGAGAGCCTCGGCGCACGTGCGAGCGGAGAGCCTCGGCGCACGTGCGAGCGGAGAGCCTCGACGCACGTGCGAGCGGAGAGCCTCACCGCGCGGACAAGCTTCATAGCTCGCTTCCTTGCACCGAACGATTGTAGCGGCTTCTTTTTCGTTGGGCGCATCGTGAGCGAACACAACAACGGTCTCTTATAGACGGTTGAAAATCGTCTCGTAAAGACGGTCGAAAATAGTTTCGAAGACAGTTGAAACGTGGAGAGTATGCGAACGGCTGCAACGATACACGGAAGCGAGCGGAACACAAAGACGACGGACGAAGGAGCAGCAGACGAGCGGCCGCATCGGCCGCATTATGCGCAAGAGCGCTACGTCATCGCGCGCAGCAGCCAATGGCAGTGGCGGGCTCCCCCGCGTCCTTGGGGAGCGCGCGCTTCACCCAATCCCAGCTGCGCGCCTCAGCCGCGGGAAACTTGAAAGCTCTCGCGAGCCCTCCAATCATGAGCGGCTTGCTCCTCTCCTGCGCTGCCGCCGGCGACGCAGGTAGCAGGGAAAGAAAGAGCAAGAATTGACAAACAAAACAACACCAAAATGGCGGCGCTCCATCGAGCGGTCGAGAAACTGCGATCACGCCAAGTTGGGGTATTTTGAGCGCTCGCGCGCCGCTCGAGGGCCGCCACGGCATGTTCTAAACTTTATTTCAAATGGTTTCGCGATGAATTAGACGTTGATATTTACAGAAAAGGTAGTTTATGACACATACTGCCCGAATATGTGGTTTGCCAAAAATCGACTTTTTCGCGATTTTTCGGTTTTCAAAGGCCGCGTCCCCCCTTAATATGAAGCAGTTATGCAGTAGCCCACGCTCCATTACTCGCTGATCTTACTTTACCTGTCACACCCAGTACTCGCTTCACAAATACTGTTCTGGCTCATATTTATTTTTAAGTTGCATAATGCAGCAACTAGAGGTAAGTATGTTAAACAGACAAATCAGTTTAAAATTAATGTGAAAGTGCCACGATAAGTGATTTTTATATCAGTAGTTTATTGTACATGGACTTGCCTTTAAAAACCTGTGCTTAGTAACCTTTTTTTTTTTCTTGTGTACAGTCGACGACCTATTTTTTGGACCCGACAGAGACCACGAAATAGTCTGAAAAATCGAAATAGTCTGAAAAATGAACTTTGCGGGCGGCAAAGTTCAAGGCTCCATGGAACCAGGCAAAACGAAACTTGATGCCAGTCGCAAAAAGATGTATGCAACTTCTCGCCTGTTGGGTGAAATTGAACAACAGTGTCTGGGCTTCTTTTACCTGTGCTGACATCACACAGTAAGTGAGCCTTTAGCATTTTGCCCCTATCAAAATGCTAACTCCATGGCTTCGATCGAACCCGCGGGTTCTAGAAGTAGCCAAGCATCATGACCACAGAGTGCTACTGAGCAAACAAGAACAGCAGCGAGCATGTGACGCGCACGACGGCTAGAACACATTCGGCCCAATACAGTATAACGTCGTTACAACATGCCTATAAAGTAAAGAGGATTTTAGTCTTTTGTAAAGGGAGTACAGTAGGCTCCTATTAAATGAAACTCTCTTAAATGAAATTGCTGCTTAAATGGAGCAACTGCCCTTAATATGTTTCGTTTCATACATGAATATTATACCCCTATTCATCTCTCAGTAAAGAAAACTCCTCTTAAAGGAAACACATTGTCCTAGTTCCTTCAGGTTTCCTTTAAATGTATGTTAAATTCATCTACTGTTACAACAGAATTTTATGTAAATGTGTAAAAAGTCTGTTATAACAAAAGAGAATTGCAAGTCACAAAACACAGCACAATTGAATAACGCATTTATTTTAGATCTTTTGAAAAAAGCTAATC